GGTTTGAATTACCCAACAAGTACTAGAAGTTTACTGAAGATAATAATGTGTGCATGCATCCTGAAGAAACTGTCAAAATGATTGGAGAGTTGGAAATAAGTCTCTTACAGCAAAAACAAATCTCCGATTCCCATGATTCCTGTCACGAATAGAGACTATCTCGCCTGAATTCACATGTGCTAAATTTATGATCTGTTCTGTTGAATTCACAACAGGAATGCTGAAGTCCAGGAATATCTTTATCTCATTGATTTTGTTAATTGCAAAGACAGTTCGTGGAACTCCATTTATACCCAATTCATAGGATGGAACGGATGTCCATAGATCAGCCAGGACAGGTCTTCTATCTATCTAAGATGACAGTATTAGTATAAACAAATAGAATGAACAAGACAATAACCTACATTAAGCATATCCTACCTAAGTGTATGACTAAAATGGAACTATTAGTCCTTGTAAATCTGTTTCCGGCCAGGTCTATACAGAATCTATCTTTTGTATTAATCATCACACGACCGTGTAAAGTTTTCAAGGAAAGAATCACATCAAGCCTATATTTGATCTTAGGTTCGATCACCCGTAGTGAAGAAGCATGGATGTGACCAGGACCTCTGGCAATAACCTATGTTTGGAAGAAAAAGAGATTGAAATGAAAACTTTAGCAATGTTAGAAAGGATGAATACCATATTCATTGAGAAAACTCAGAGACAAAATGCTGAAACTTACATCACAATTTGATGAATTGAGACACTTGAAAAATGCACCTTCTCTAGTGCAAGCTTCAGTGAAGGTAATTTCAATGGTTATTTTCTCAGCATTAGTGTAGTTTTGATCACTTGAGATTGTTGCTGTTGGTGGAGTTGTATCTGTTTGGAAAGTATGAAAAGAGACAATAAGCTGTACAACAAAAACAATGGCTTATTTTGTGTTTTTCTGGCTTACTTTTGTGATTTCAGAAGATTAGACATCTGACTGCAATTTCCTACTAATTTAAATTGTCAAAATCAGAGATTTATAATTGGAATCATAATTTTTGTTAATTAAATTTCAGTATAAAATAGGAAGAACCTATACAGATTTCTATGTGTAAAAGCATATTATTGTATAAATGACCTTGAAATCACCCACTAAGACTTATAACTTAAATTTGCAATGTTTTGTTCAATACTTTTAGTTTTTGAAATAACAAGTATAAGAAGTATCGTCAAGTATAGACACCAAGAGGATGAAAAATCATGTATAAAATTATATATAAATCAGTAAAAATATTAAATCTCCTAAATCTTTCATGCAATATAACGGTTGATCCATAACCAATAAAAGTAAAGGTCTGAAACCATCACTCTCGAATTTTGTCCATGCCCTCTTTTAATCTTTAAAAAACTCTTTACTTTCTTCCAAACTGTCCAAAATATCACCAGTAGAATAAGCCCCAAACATTTCTTCCTTTTAACCAAGCCCTTCCATGCTCATAGTTCTTCCTTCAAAATATGAGTCATAACCCAATTAACTCCTAGCAACTCATATGCCATAGGCCACATACCATATACCGCGGGACACCGAATGAGTAAATAGTTGCATGTCTCCTCTGCTTTTTCACATAAACAACACCAGTTAACCATAATCTTTTCCCTCCTCTAAAACTTATCAATAGCCAAAATGCAATACTAAAGTTCAATACTTCACGTTTAAGCCGAAAACATCATAGCATTAAAATACTTAAACAACTTAAAATTAGAAGCGTATTAACTTACCGATGAACCAGGAAAAAGCTGATGAATTTGTCTCTCCGTTTCGGGTTGTAACATTAACAAGAAATTGGTGTTTACGGTTTTCAGTTAGGTTTCTTAATGCTATGACACCAACAGGGCATGATTCCAGAGCTTTGCCATCAAGCTGATAAGCAGATGCCAAGTTTTCAAAAGAGGAATTACTTATAGATTCGATGGCTGTAGCAAATTATAGCTGATAATCACTGAGTCAACACTAAATAAGTATAACGCTCTTCAAATTGAGCATCAAAAAGCAATTAGAAGTTTGGGACAGATTCTAATAATACCAAATTCAAAATAAACCTTACAATGTCCAGATTCTTTTTTATGGCATACGAAAATGAATCAAGTAGATCAAACCATAAAAGTAGAGACCTTTGTTTAATAGTATTTAACAAGATTATTGATGAAGAGAACTAGAATTCCACATACCTCACAGTAAATTAAACAAGAATGTTTTGCGCAAGCATTGGAACCATCAAGCCTTTTAACAGAGTAGCCAAAAATGGCTGTAGAAAACCTTGAGAATGGCAATGGAGTCTGATCAAAATGAATATATATTCTTGACTCAACTGAGTTGAGCGTACTTACAACCAGTGCAGCTACTATATAAACACTTATTAGTTTCAGGAACCTGAAGAGATCCATTTCAGGAACAGACATGAAAGAAAAATAAAACCCAAGAAGAAGGGTCTGTCAAAAGGGAGTTGAAGAAGAAAAGGAGCTTATGGGATTTAATGAAGAGTAGAAGTAGTAGTTGGGATTTTTAACTTACGGCTTTTAAGTTGAAAAAGCGAGAAAAAAGCTAGAGAGGAGGACAACCACCTCAACTGTTGTTTGTCAGCCTCATAACTGCTTATTTAAAGAAGTTCACATTTCTTCAATAAATTTACTTTATGATGGCTCACATCTTCTTCAATTTATTTCTGTTGTTTTGTTTTTCTTCCTTTTCTTTATTTTTCCCCTTTTAAGATAGGATTCAAGGCAATTTTTTATCTAATAGTGTAGAGTAATTATTGATTATTAAACAATGTTACTAAATTATTATTGTTTAATAACTGGCAATTTATCAATTACTGCTTTATCCAATGTTTGGTACCTTCTTTTCTTCTGTACAAACACTCGGATTTGATGTGAATCCCTGAGATTTTGGTATTGATTGTTTGTAACTTTGTTTTCAGTGGTCGATGCTACTAAATCTGCTGTGTTTGGGATTAACTGCAGCTTCAGCTACATACCCAGTTTTTGTCTTTTTTTTGTTTTGTTTTGTTTTTCGTACATGATTTTGATTTTGAGTTAATTCTTTTCAGATGATCATGTTTACTGCCTATTCCCATATATGACAATTTATGGTAACTGGGCAATAGTTCACCATTTCAACTTTTTCATAGATGACATAACATTCTTATTATACTCAAATTTAAATCATACTCTCCCGGCCAGTCTTAAAAGAAAAAAAAATCTCAGTTTAATTAGTGTTGGAATTATCAGTGATATGTATATATATATATATATATTTAACTAGGTGACTCTAGGAAACTAACATTCAAAATTGACTCAAACTTTGAACAAATCTAGTTATAACAATACATGTTTTGAATTAAAATGTTCTTTTAATAAATATTGTCAGCCAAATAAATGAACTATTTTTATAAAATTCATTTAAAAAGTTTACACTCGGTGCAATTCAAAAATAAAAATCTATTAGAAGATATGAAAAGTACCAAACTAAAAAAATGAAGGCCGAGTGACATAACAAATGTTTAGTTCTATTCGTTTCGAATTCTATCAATAAACTGTTTGAATTTTCTGTCCTAATATTCAATTTCTAAATAAATTTTACAAAGGAAATCCATTTTTTGTGTGTATAAACATAGCTTTAAGCTCAGCCCAAGCTCCACAATGATGCCTCCTTTAACGTGAACATATTAACCATTCCAAGCTCGATCAACACGAGATTCGAACCAATTTTCTCATATATTTACAAACATTCAAAATATTTCCCTCAATTTTATCAGTAAGGATGGTGGTAAAAAGGTTTAATTTCGGATATTTGAACCAAGAATACTGCAAGAGAACCTTGGAGCAGATGAACTATGGTTTTGTACAAATATCTATTAAGATATAGATACAAAAACAACTTTTAGCTGCCAGATGTGATGGCATCTCCGATCATAGCAGATTCATTATCACCTTCTGCTACCATCCACTGCAATTTGGGCCCCTGAAATCACATGCTCATAAAATCAAATATTGTATGCAACAAGTTATTTGACCAATGGCTGAAAACATGTTATTTCTAGCAAGATCTTTGCATATCAAATTTTGTTGTTAAAAGTTACCAGTGAAATCCTATCATTAGATGAGATTCAATATGCTAGCAAACCAAATGGTGAGGAAAAAAAATCATCTTTTATTGAATGATATCAGGGAACTTGGCAGTCTGCGTCATACATTCTGTGGACCATAGGAGAAGATGGATTATCACACGTGTTCATAGCTCCGTACCTTTATTCACAGATCCAAACTCAAAACAGATGATTGAAGCATGATTAATAAGATCAAAATTTCAAGGGTATTATTTAGTTACCTTCCCTAGCCGTATGACTTTTGGAAAAGCCCCTGTCATATCAACTATGGTGGATGGATCAGTTATTCTTATACCGCCATCAACAATAAAATCAAGGCCCTAAAATATAATACAAACAAATTAGTTGCTATACCAATGCACCAGAAAGCTTAATGGAATCCTCCAAACTTCTGATTTATTTCAGAAAATACATAGTACAAACACTGGAGTTCTGAAATAGAAAAGCTCTCGCTCTGCGTAAAATGTTTTTTTTTTTTTTTTTTTTGAGGGGAGGGCGGTTGGGGGCGGGGAAGAAGGCTTAGGGGTGGCTCATTTCTTTGCAGGAAAGGAAGAATATCCAAAGATAATCGCCGGTGCAATACGGTATCTAGATAATGCACAAACTTAAGCAGAATTAAGAAAACATGAAAGCTACTCCAAGCTATTGCGTGTAGAGAGTAGCTAATCATCATTTAAAAAACTCCTACCTCTGGTCCATACATATCAGCTATTACAACTGGATCTATCATCCATTCATTTTCCTTTGGCCCTTTGACACTGACAAAAGGAAAATGCATTCAGTGAGATAGCAATGGTCAGAGGATGCACAAGCGGCATACATATATTCAATCACCAATTATAAAAGGGTAACGTCTTCAATACCATGCACATCAATAACATCATAATGAAAAATTGGAGGAAAAGAAACTTAATTTCACCATTATTTTTAGCTTCCTACAAGTAGTTTGCAAGATAAAATTGGAACCAACTTCCAACAAAGAAGAAACAAGAGAAAAATGTGCAACCAACCTTGTGCATATTAATGGTGCATCCATCTTCTCTAGAATTGCTTGGCAGATTGCATCGCCAGGTATACGAACACCAACATTTTTCCTTGAAGCATATTTGGCAGTTGTTGTTCCATATCTTACACATTGTTTCGGTAATTCTTTGCTTGCAGTCAAGATAAAAGTGTACTGCAAAAAAAGTTTATTAGGATTCAAATCATCAACTTAAACAATCAACGGAACCTACCTAATTAAATCTAATAGAAACAGCAACTTGATGATGCTTTCTGAAACTCTTTACAGTATCCTAACCCATCAAACATTATGCAGATATGGTGTCAAAATGACCATATTTCAAGTTAACAGCCATCGGAAAGTAAATATTACTGTAGCTACTTCATATACTGTAGACATAACATTGCAGTGCAACGATGCTTGCTGTGGAATGCCAGAAATGCATACTCAGATTACCTCAAGCCACAATAACAGTAAGATTAAGGAACATGCTTACAGGTCCAGGTAAGCAATGCTTCACAGCTCGAAAAATATTTGCATGACCCTGGCCATCACCGCGAGGAAATCCTGTTGTATAAGTGTCTATGTCCCGCAAAGAACTGCATAAGATGCTCAGAGGCTGCATGAGGCAGTACAAAGATACCAAAATAAGGGAAATGATTAAAAGTGTACGAAAGTCATCAAGCACATGATACTTTAAAGGCCCCTCCTCCAGAAACAACAAATCAAATTGAAATCTTAAGCACGTCCTACAATAAGCTTTGTTAAAAGCTAGGCCACAGCTTCTGCAGGAGGCATATCAAAGTGATGATCAAGTAGGAGGAAGATTTTCTTGCCTTTGAGGACTCAATATCTTTGATTCTGCAATGCAAAGAAACAAGTAAAAGAATTGACACCAAGAGATTTAGAAGGAAAATGTCTAGGAAAATGTAATTTAAAGGACAACATTATTGACCTGCGGAGACGCTCAACTGCTGAGTGGTTTTTTGAATGACAAGCTATTGCATACCTGTTCAAAGGAAAAACTCATAGTTTTAGAATTTGTAAAGAGATGAAACTACAACAAACCAGCCACAATACCTATTAGGAAAATATTTGAAAATTAAAAGGAAGGTAACAATTGACAACGAAAAAACCAGAGCATCATACACTGTATCAGTAGGAATAACCCCAACAGCACCCTTTTTCAGAAGGTCAATAACTGGTTCCAATTTCCAAATATCTGAACCCAACGGATCAACTTCAACAAACAGCAAATCATTCTCCTGATATATAATCACAGGAACTTATTAAATACAAAGTAAAATTAACTTAGATGAAAAAAGAAAAACCCTTCTCACGTAAAATAACAAGACGATCACTAAGAAATCACGAGAACACATTCTTGTTATGCGCTAGTGATACTGATATTAAGAGGCTGAACTATTATCCCTAATTGATAGTCACGAGACTTGATTGAACGAGGAATCATTATTATGTTGGTAAATTTAGCTCAATTAGTGGGCACAAAAGTCATAGAATTTTGCAACCTAACAAGAAAACATTTCTGTTTGTTTGTCCAGAAAACACAAAATGAAAACTAGAAAATAAGAAATTCGCTAGCACCTAAGGAAGACGAACCGAGACTGCATATATGTGCCCGCCGAGCTCATTTGCTCACTCCTAATTTATACATAAGCCATGAAGAGAAGTAAAGAAAGACCTTGGTGAAGCGAGTAGTAGAGTACTTGAGGCGCTTTGGACTTCTCTTGACTGCAAATGCGACAACCTGGAGCCGAGGGGGCTTGGGCGTGACAGAGGAGACACAGCAAGTAGAAGAGGAAGCGAAACGGCATCGAGTTGCTGCAAAAGAGTGCAAGAAGTAAAATGACAGCGTCGCGTCCGGGCTGGACAGTTTCGTTTCCGCCATTTTCTTTCTCGGAGCTCAACTGGAGAAAGAGAAAACCAGCTCTTCCATAACGATCACAGTTGTTAGCCAGAGATCAACCTTTTTGTCTTCTCTTCTAATCCTGTTTCCGCACGCGAATATATTTTGGAATGATGCGACACCGTTTTAGAAACAATTTTTTCTCTCTTGAAATTTCGTAGGCGAACTTTTTTAGCCGACTATTTTTATACATTCTTTTATTAGAATACATATATATTTTTTATTTTTAATTCTAAATTATTCGGCAGTTAATTAAAAATTAAATTTTATTTTTATATTTTAGAATTTAAATTTTTAAGTATTACTTATATATATATATACATATATTTTTTAAAAATAAACAAAAGCTTCCAGTATTATATATCAAGCTATAAACATTAACCAAAAAACTTATTAAAATATTACAGAAAAATTTAATATACAAAAGCAAATTCCATTTTTCCTACCATGTAACACCCGGATCTTTTTTTTTTTTTTTTCATGTTGGACGTACTTAACAAGCAACCAATTTCATAATCAAACAGTCATGCACAAGAAAACACTAGCATAATCCATTATTCAATTATCGAGATAACCTACAATCATGTACAAGACATCTCACACAATACAACCATACTCAAAATCTATGCTATCATCAATTCTACATATTCCATTCAGTCGAAATAAAACGAAACTCCTCATCCTGTACTCTACACACTAGGATCAGAATCCAACAGCTTCGATCCAGACCCCATCCCTACATCATCTGAAAAAAGAAAAGAGTGAGTTCCTTTAACTCAGTACAGTAAAACTCAAAATATATGCGTGAAATGCAACAGTATAAAACCCTATGCCTCTACTAATCGTTCACTACTGAACTCAAATTTTCCCTCCTGCACCTACAATTCTACCTACCCTAGGTGTCCGTTCCCCGACGGCACTCTAGGCATGCCAGTGATACCATTCATCGCCAAGGTTGGCAACCATTAACCACCTATCAACCCCTAGTGGGCCACGCACGCACACGAGTTTCAATCATTTTCGTCACCAACAGCGGCGACCATCTGTCACCTATCGACCCCCCATCAGGCCACACACGCACACTCTAATCATTCTCTCCCGTCACCACCTTCGGCGACCGTTAGCCATCTCACGACCTATACCAGGCCACTCACACTCACACTATTTTCATTCACTTGCGTCGCCATCATCGGCGACCGTTCTCCATCTCTCAACCTATACCAGGCCACTCACACACACTCTGATCATTCTCTCCCGTCACCACCATTGGCGACCGTTAGCCATCTTACGACCCATACCAGGCCACTCATACACACACTATTTTCATTCGTTTGCGTCGCCATCATCGGCGACCGTTAGCCATCTCTCGACCTATACCAGGCCACTCACACACACTCTAATCATTCTTTCCCGTCACCGATATCGGCGACCACTAACCACCTCTCGACCTATACCAGGCCACGCACGCACACCATTTTCATTCACTTGCGTCACCAACATCGGCGACCATCGTCTACCTATCGACCCTCATCGGCCACACCCACATACACTACTCCTTCTCGTCCACTGTCTCTCTCCGCCTGCTACCTGCGACATATCCTAATTGCCCCCACTCACCCCCTCTTTCTTCCCCCAAGGTTCCAACTACCACTCCACTTCCCCAAGCATCTCACTCCCCCGGTGGATCTCACTCACCCGGTGGATCCTTCCCTTCTCTAACCTTCACTCACTGCCCCTCCCTAACTCTCTCTCGGCTACAACCTCCCGCCACACCGTCGCGCCACACCATCCTTCTCACCTCACTCACCCCGCGGGTTCTTCCCTTCACCAGCGTTCCTCCACTGCCTCCTGCTATCTCTCTCTCGGCTACAACAACCCGCCACACAATCACACCACATCGTCCTTCTCACCTCACTCACCCCATGGACTCTTCCCTTCCCCTGCGTTCCCCTACTGCCTCCACCTATCTCTCTCTCCGACTACGTCCTCACACCACAACCTCTCCCTATCTCCTTCCGCGTTGCTCACACACCTCACTCACCCCACAGACTCTTTCCTTCCCCTGCGTTCCCCTACTGCCTCCACCTATCTCTCTCTCCGACTACGTCCTCACACCACAACCTCTCCCTATCTCCTTCCGCGTTGCTCACACACCTCACTCACCGCCACACCGTTCGCCGCCCGCACCGTCGCCTTCTCTCTCTCTCCTCCCGCAATCCTCACGCGATTACTTCCTTTGCTCGCACACCTTCTTTCTCTCTACCAACCTCCACTCACTCTGCACCCCTATCTCTCTCCTCTCACGATCTTCACTCGGTCCATTTCCTTCCAACTGCCTCACTACACCTACTCACCCGGTCCCTTCCATACCCTGCTAACTCCGTAACCCGTGACCACGCACGCTACATATCTAACCATTTCACACTCAAATCAACACACACATTTAGAGTTAGTTACCATACCTCTCATTTCCATTTTTCCTTCTTTCAGCCGAATGTGCTCTCACTGTCCGCGATCTCCTCTTCTCCCCGCTCCGCTTCCTTCCTCTCTCCTTCTGGAATCTTCCTTCCTCTCCTCTTTCTCTCTCCCGCTCCCCTTCTTCCCCTGCTCCCCTTTTTCCTTTTCTTTTTTTTTTCTTTTCCTTCCTCTCTTCCTTCCTTCCCCCGCCTCCTACTTAAATCACCATAGTTTTCCTTCAAAACGGCGTCGTTTTCCTCCTTGCAAAACGACGTCGTTTTCCTCCTTGCAAAACGACGTCGTTTTCCTCCTTGCAAAACGACGTCATTTTCTCCCCTCTGCAAAACGACGTCGTTTTTCCCTTCTCTTTCTCTCCCTCTTTTTTTTTTTCCAATTATTACATACTATTAGTTCTCATTGATAAAACAAAATATAATTCTAAATAAAATTAATATTCTAATCTTAAGTTAAATTTATATTTAATTTAAATTAAATATGTTTATACTTAAAATTGAGGTAAATTAATTTACCATACGCCAAATATTAGTAACAATTAATTTTTTATCTAAAATTAGAATAGAAATGGTATAACATTAAAACCAAATTCAAAACGATTCATATCTATCGAATCATGTTGTAACTCGACACAACTAAAAATAAATTTAAATAATTAATGATTGAAAGGATGTTTCTTGTAAGATCTAAACAATGTAACTTGAAATGTTAATAATATATATGTATGTATGCATATGATCATTAACTAAAAAGAATATTATAAAGTTGAAATACAATATTAAACTTACAATAGAAAAATTAGTAAATTTAAATACTGCTTCAATCCTTAGTTTTCAAATCTTACATCTTCTAAAATAAAAACCTTTTAGCACACTATCTTTTGATTTAAAGATAATGAATATCATTCCATCAATTTCAACCTTTTATACCCTTAGATTAAGTTTTTTCTCAAACAATTCTAAGAATTCGATGCTTCCACTCTGGTATAAAACATAACATAATCACATACCAATTATGAGAACAAAAAACACGAGATGCTAAATTGGTAAAACATAACATGAGCCACTATTAAACTCGATTTAAATGAATCGCACCAACAAAGCATAAGACGAGCTGATTCTTTCTCCGTCAACCGAGGCCAAACAAGTGCATACGACCAATCAAACTAGCAGACTACAAATCAAACAAGCAGGCACCATCAAGAGCACCTACCAGCCAACCCAAGGCATAGCAGGCAGCAGCCAGCCCTTCCTTGGCAAGAGCAAAGCATAAGATTGTTAGATTTTGCCGAGCCAAGCAACACAGACCACTAACCCTCAACCTAGCCAAGTGGTCACCAGTCCCAGCACAGACTTCTTGTGCTAGGGTTGAAATGGCAAGTGGTGTGTATCCGCCCACTGAAAAGAGTACAAAATAACATCTTGTGCTAGGGTTGAAATGGCAAGTGGTGTGTATCCGCCCACTGAAAAGAGTACAAAATAACAAAATCACAGCCTTGAATGTCTCACTGCCAAGAATAATTAGCAGCCAAAAAAAAAAGAGAAGAGCTCAAGCTGTAGCCCGAGAATGTTGCATTGGGATTAACTAGTGAAAAATCCATAGTGATTCCTGTAAACAGATAGTTCTAACTTATTAAATCACTACGCAATAAAAAAAAATCTCATCGATGACCAAAAATAATTTATGTTTGGAACAAATAATTCCACAAAAGCATAAAAAATGTGGAGTTTGCAAGTAAATTCTACACTACGTAGAATTCATTTGTTCCAAACATGTCTTTGAATAAAGATGGTTAGGCATGAGTTATTCGCAATTTCCACAACTCCAGCTCAAATCAAAACTCGAAAATTCTGAAATACGTTTCAAATTCTTCTCTTATCAATCTTCTCTTATCGTGGAGGAGGAGGAGGGGCTGCGGGCAACTGAGATTTTGCAAATCCTACCCATGCAACAATGCCAACCGCCAGGATTATCCAGCCAAAGACATCATACTTGAAATCACTGCTTTTCTTCTTCTTTGAACTCTGGGAAAACGATTGAAAAGAAATTCAACTAAAGTATGTATAAACTGATTAAAACAATTTTAAGCCACCACATTAGGCATTTAAACACAACCAGTATGAAGCATGCACATGATACAAATGTCAAGTAAACAAGCATTCCCATTGACACATTTTCCATCATCTAGGACCCAAAAATCAAACCAGGACACTTCCTTCGCATAAAACACTATTCAAGAATTTTATCAGGAAAGTTGAGACAAGTAAAATACCTCATAAACTGGTTTACAGCTCACCCAAAAGTCAACTATTGTTCAGCAATGTCTTATTGTAATCCACTAAATATGCCATGCAGATCAACAAAACTGATGGGAACCATCTAGCAACATTTTTATTTATTTATTTATTTTTTGAAATAAATCTAGCAAGGTTTATTATGTAGACTACTACTAGAAATATTATATTTTAACATAGTTATTATATTTTGTTAAGTTTTTATTTCTTATCAAACTAGTAGCTTTGTTGTCACTGTTTTCCTATTCAAGGATTCTAGATATAATAGTCTATGTAGGCACTCTACAAACACATGATTCAACTTTATTTTACAAACTACTTACGATAAAAAAAAAAACTGTTGATTTTCTCTCATGGATTGAGTTCCAACCCTACAGTTGTGTTTTGACCAGCCTATGATTATGGTTGTTGTCAATCCCTATAATTAGGGTGAGATTTATCTTTTCTTTATTTTAATCTTTCTAATTCTATTCCATTGTGGTATGCCAATTTGGTGTAAGAGCACAAAATCTTGATTTTTAACTTTTTCTAAAACAAAAAAAAAATATTAGTATATAAACAGAGGCACCAAGGGGATGCCACCTGTATACAAAATAGTTATAAATCAGTCAAAATATAAATGTTCCTTAAATCCTCGCTAATAATGATAGGACCACCCTTTTAAAAAATCCCCAACTCAATAGAAAGCAATAACTTAAGTCCTCAAAAGCCCTCATGTTCCTTATCTTTCAAATCACCCACATGGTATTAAGGAAGATAAACAGGACAAGTTTCTCCCATGCTTATCACCCTGGGTACCACAGAATACCCAAATCTCATTAGCCACAGATCCAGATATAACCAAGCTCAAACCAAGAAACTCAAGAGCCATGGCCCATAGGCATGAAGAGAAAGGACACCAAAAGACACGACAATCGGGTAGTCATATTGCATAAAAACCACCAAAGAATCTGTTCCCTTCTTTGAGAATTATCAAAGTAAAAAATCGGACTTTTCACTGAATCCTCCCCTCCAAACATTCCGACCCCCGAAAAAAAGAAAGTCAATTGTAGGAGAAGTATTAAGTTTCACAATGAAAGAGCAACTAGTTTCCAGTTTCTATACCATTTTATCATTCCCCTTAATCAGGAACTAGATGTGAGAAAGGCGCCGAAGAAGCCTATCATATTCATCAACCTCCATATCATTCAGGGTTCTGTAAAATCCACTGTCCATACCTTATCATAAGAAAAGTAAGAGAATAAGTCATTGACCACCCATTTTCCATCTAGCAATAACGAACACATAATGAAACTGCTCATGAAAGGCCCTCCATCACTCCAATCACCATGCTGAAAGCTCACCCTGTGGATCAAAACCCTCATCGTTTTTTTTTCTTTGGAATAAAATCAAGATTTTGATATTTTTCCCAACCAAACTCGCCATAAGAACTTATCCCAACCAAACTTGAGACTTTTCCAAAGATCTGATCCATTAAGGGCTCTGGATTGTCTGGCCCTCCAACCACTATCACCAATCTCAAAGTTGGCCTAATCACCCTCCAACAGAAACTACACAGCTCATTCATAAAACTCTAAAGCCACTTCCACAACAAAGCTTGAAATAAGCGATGGATTTAACGTGCAGTTCCCCCATATAAGGACAGCGGGTGCAAGTGTATCCCAAGCCACCAAGTGGGACTTTCTTTAAGTCTTTTGAGTCACAATAGATAGAGCTCAAAATAGAAACAAGTAGCATGTTGGCAGAGTGGAAACAGTACTTCTAATGAGGGTGTGTTTATCTCTTTCACTAAGAAACTGCATTACCAGCTAACAAGAGAATCTATGTTTAAAGCTTCCCCAAGGGAACCATCTCCAATTTAGGCATGTTGATTTTTAGGGGAGAGACAGCTCCGACAGATAGAAGAACGCACCTAATGTTACAATTGGGTTTGCAAAAAAGTAGTGTCGTCAACAAAAAGGCACACCACTTTAACACCCTTTCCCACAACCAAACCCTTGAATAAACGTGATTCCTTTGCTCTGACAAGCATCGGTTCAGGCTTTCATGACAATAATGAACATGAGGAGATGAAAAGGATCCATTGCCAAAGACCCTCCTACAGTCTCGAAAAACTGGAGACATCACCACTCACAATAACAAAAAAAAAGAGGAAAATATGTAAGATCCTTATTCAAGAACACCCCGGTGCCAAATGCCTCCTCATCATATAAAAGAAAGACTTTCTTGAAAGGTAATCATAATCTTTTTCCATGTCAAGTTTGCATATTAACCCTTCATCCCCTTTTTTGGAGGCTAAATCAATTATCTCATTGGTGTCAGCGCAACATCCAAGATTTGCCTCCCCGCCACAAATTAAACCTCCTCCACCACACTGCATACAGATTGCCCTAATCTCACAAGCAGGAGCTTTAACACATACCACCAAACTATTAGGTTCGAAGTCCTTGACATTAGAATGCCCCTTCAACTTTTGGTATAAGCACTAAGAAAGTACAATCTAGCCTAGAGACAAAAGACCCCTTCCCCAGAAACCCTGCAGATATACCAATAAATCATTTTTTCAATGTTGATAAATTCTTTTGTGGAAAAGCAATAGAGAAGCCATCCAACCTTGGTGCTTTATCCCCTCCACATGACAAGTGCTTTCAGAATTTATTCCTTGGAGAAAGGATGCTCAAGCCAACTGCAATCATGTTCGTGTAAGAAAAAAAAAATCCAAATTGTCCAGATCTAGCCACCAAGAGAAAGGCTCCTTGTAGAAATTCTCAAAATTACCTTTCACGGACTCCCTCAACGCGTCCACTACCAGCTTCTCTACATAATTGCAACACCTGTAGTGACTAGCATTGCTATTAAAACTATGTATTCCTATTCTCCTCTTTAATCCACATAACTTTAGATTTCTGTCTCCAAGCAATCTCCTCCTTGAGTAACAAATTGGCAATATCCTATTTAGCAGCGGCAAGTAAGCCTCTCTCTTTCCAGTTTATCAAAATCCTCCAGAGCATGCATCAAAGGTTCCCTTCTAAATCCTTACCTTTACTCCATAGGTTGACTTTAGATTTAACATATTGAAGTTTCTTAGGTAACTTGAAACTAATACGCCCCTCCCGGACTTCATCCAACACCTAGTCCTTTCATCAAACCTTTCTTACAACCACCAGTAAGCATAGTTAGAACATCCACCATAATAGTGAAAAAAAAAATGAGAGATGACCCCCCTTCTTACCCCCATTTACAGTTGAACAAGATTTAGGCTCACTCCTAAATCCCTTTCATGCAAATGACCTTACCCCAAAAAAAAAAAAGTTTTTCTTGAAATAAAAAGTATAAGATGTATATTAACAAAGTACCTACACAAGGGTACCACTCATGCACAAAAGCTTTACAAAAGAGTTAAGAGTGTCAATGACTTTCTCAAAATCCTCTTAACTAATAATGTCATGATCAATCAAAATAGTCCCAAAATAATGCATCCACCTATCCCTTAATCTAGCTATTCCACATTGTCACCCGCAAAAGCTCTATCATTTCTTTCATTCCACAAAACCCAAAAAAGGATCAATGGAATTAAGTTAGCAATACTTTGTTTTATAGATAAACCTTCCCAAGCCCACACTTCACCCCGCACCGCACCCGCCATAACCCAATTGATTCCCAACAGCTCATAGACCATATTCCAAAGATAATACGCCGTATAATAACCTTCTCTATAGTGGCTATTTGATATCGTTCCATGCAACCAAATAATATTTTCTTTGCTCTACATTAATACCCCAAATGAATTTGTATTGCAATCTCAACTCTATTCGCCATACAATTTGGAATAGGAAAACGAGATAAAAAGTAGACGCGAAGATTGGATGGTACCATTTAATCAAAGTCACTTTTCCCTCCTTAAACAAAGTGCTCCTTCTCTAGAAAGACAACTTCTTTTCCACCACTGACGAAACAAGGTCTCATATCCCAGCATCCATTGTTTTTAGCATCAAGTAGAAGACAAAGTTATATGATAGGAAATGAGGCAACCTTGCAGTCAAAAAGGTTAGCAACGTAATTAATTCTAACACTATTTCTTAGTGGGACCATTTCAAACTTAGTCCAATTGAAGTAGGGGCTTGATGCAGCTCAAAACAATGGATAATAATCCTCATTTCCAGGCACTTATTTCCATACTTTTAAGAAAAGGATTGTATCATTTGTAAACATGAAGGGTGTACGCTCCCTATCTTGATCTCTGTAAGATGAAAAGAACTATGATGGCCCACCGTTTACAAAGACTGTGAAGAGGTAGTAGAAATATACGTTTCATCCAGGGCCCCAAACCCATCTTAGACCAAGATATGTTATCATACACTTTCTCAACATCCAATTTGCACAAGAGCCCTCTTTCCTATTTTTCACATTTGCATCCACCATTTCATTTGCCACAAAGGTCGTATTTTGCTACACTCTACGAATACGTGCTTAAACTCATCGACCACATAGTTCCCAAATCAATAAATCTTTCAGCTAGAAGTTCAGCAATCAACTTATAAATATTGCCAACCAAGATAATTGGTCTGAAGTTCTGAATATTGACAATCCCTTCTACTTTGGGGACCAAGATGAGGAAGAAGCACTTTTTAAGCATTTTACAAACTTAATAGTAGCATAGATTTCATTTAAAATCTCCATCACCTCATCCATGATAATACCGTAATTTTGTTGCAACCTGTTACAAGAAAAACGAGCTTCCTGTACTTCTTTGGCTAGGAAGGGAGCCTCTAAGGAAAATTTTCAAGAGAACTTAACTAAGAGAACTCTAGATCATCCAATTTAGGCCTCTACTGCTCCATTTCACTACAAATATCTTTGAAAGTTTTTTTTTTCAAGATATTGCATACAAATGTCTAAAAAGAGACATTTCCTGCAATGCAAAATAGCCATCTCATGAAACGAACTTCGGATTCCTATGTCCTTCCTTGATCCAAGTCAATATAGATTTTTGCAACCATGCCATTTCAACAATACCCACTAAGTCAGACAACTCAACCCCAACCCAATGTTTTCAAATCTAAATGGCTCAAGGCCCCATTTAAGTTTGACCAACTCAAGGTATATGGACACATGATAAAAGTCACCTAAGGTAGAAGAGATTGAGAGATCCCTAAAGTAGAAGAAATTGCGAGTTTGAACAAGGTATATGGGTACATGATCAAAGTCATCCGAAGAAAAAAAGAATGAGAGTTTGACCAAGTCAAGGTATATGGCCTTCAAACAAAGGAAGATGAAAACCTAACAATCCTAGAGAAAGTAGGAGGTTCTCTAGGATTAAACTGTCTTCCCCAGAAAGAGGTAAGTCCCTAAGCTTTAATCTATTAATCTTGTACAGAAATTCTTGACAGCAAGAAATGGAACATGATCTACTATATCTTTCAAAAGAAAATAGAATTAATATTGATTACACCCCTTACAATCCAAAGACTTGTCCATCTTTCTCTTACCTGTATAAGATCCTCATACACCAAAATCCTCTCTTGACCTTTGCCTTTTTCATATACTTTGATGAAAATCCACAGACAATTATAGTCCCTCTCTTTAAACTCTCAAGAGACTTCAAACAAAACCTTGATCCCCTGGATGGATTCAATGCAGCTATCTTTCCACATAGAAAAAGGGACTATAATTGTTTGTGGAAACACAATTTAATAGTAAACTCCTGTAAAATTAACATATGGTTGTAGACCTTGTGATTATGGTTGTTTCCAACACCTTTTATTGTAAATTGGATATATCTTCTCCTTTCTTTAATATCTCCATCTTTTCAAACCTAATTTGCCATTCTACATCAAAAACTATAGCTTCACGCCTAAGTATCTAAATTCTCTTAATCCATTCTACCACTTCCAACCAAAAGAAAGCTGGAAAAAAATGAGTATTTTGCTACATACGAAAAAGAACTTCCAGGAGACAATTGCATTAATAGAACAAACAAAAACATGAATTGATGTAAAACACAGCACTGACAAATGTAGACAAAAAAGGGGGTGAAAAAGATAAAAAGAAAAAGAAAATAGTATTTAAAAAAAAAAAAGATAAAAAGAAACTTACCTTTGAACCTGAAGAAGTGGAAGGTCCAGTTCCCGTCAGTAGTTGACCTAATCCATGCCTATGAACCTCAGAG